TATTTTCCATTTTTTCGCTCTACCACATTTGGGCCAACAAGAAAAGTACCTCAACTTCAGTTATTTTTCATTATCAAAAGAATGTATCAAAAAATTTAAAAATTTGAGAGTTTGTAGGTATGGTGGTGATCTTTCCAAAAAAAATATATGTATAGATATATTCTCAACCGCCGAAATAAATTGTAACGACAATTCGAAGTATTTTCTATTTTTTTCACTCCCCGGATCCTCCCCACTGTACTACGGGTAACCCTCTTTAACATGTGCTACTGGTCCCCCTAACTTAAGGACGGCGGGGTTGGTGGTGGTTTAAGATATAGATATGTGTGAAAGAAGATAACAATTAACAAAGGTTGAAACAGATAAACCATTTAGTATCTTATGAAGACCTTCTTACATCTTAGTGTTCCTTTCTTTCGCGCGGGGCAGTTTCACGTTCTTACTTGCCTTCTCTTTCCACATTTTCAGTTCATTCACTAAGTCTATTTCCTCATCTACCCACGTCTCGTTTTTCTTCATCGTGTTTTTTTTTTCCCTTTTTTTTTACTCTTATCGTTTTTTCTATTATATTTGTTTTTTTCAACTCTATGTACAATTGCTTATTCCTCGTTACCTTTGTTTTCCTACCCCTCTAATATCATACGTCCCTCGCATTGGTTGTTTTCTATAAGGTAAATTATTGGTTTAGTTGTTGAGAACCATGACCCAAATCTATATGTGTTTATGGTAAGAAAACATACTAAACTTAATTTTATTCATCGCCTCAAAACATGTCAAAATTCAACTTTCAAACTTCGTCCTAGTAGGATTTTATCTTGATGAAAGTTAAATATATTGACAGTTATTTTCTACATGTGTTGAATATACCTCGCAGTCTGAAATAAATTCATTATGATGGTTGGAAAGTTTAACTCGACCAAACCAAAAACTTAACAGTTAATTACAATAATAATAAAAATAAAAAAGAAAACCTAACTATAATATAACCATTGTGCTCCCTATGGGGACAACCATTTTATCCCAATCATAGCAGGGCAGAAACTTATAGCTAACAACTGATTACGATAATCAAAGGTACAAGTTCGACTCCTGTAGCCCTCAATTATGGAATCTTGATCCCTCAACCTTGTTTTTAATTGGCCACTTTTCGTCACCCTTCTAAAATTTGGGCAACTCCATTATTACCTGAAGTAAGAACTAGCCCGGTAGGCGGGTGTCTTCATCTCATATGCTCATGATCTAAAGATCAAATATGACTAATCGCAAGAGATTAACTCTTGTTTGATAAAGAAGTAGATTTCAACTTATATTTAACCTTATCCAAACACAAAGTTTAACTCCATCGAATTCTTGAGGCTCCTATAACTAGCACTGGAAATATTATGTTGTATAAAAGGAATACAACCTGACTCAGGCAACTCCATTATTACCCGAAGTAGGAACTAACCCGGTAGGTGGGCGTCTTCATCTCATATGCTCATGATTTAAAGATCAAATATGACTAATCGCAAGATTAACTCTTGTTTGATAAGGAGGTAGATTTTACTTATATTTAACCTTATCGAAACACAAAGTTTAACTCCATCGAATTCTTGAGGCTCCTATCACTAACACTGGAAATATTATGTTGTATAAAAATAATACGACCTGACCCGACTTTGCTCTCGGTTGGTATCGCCATTCGTTGTATCTAAGAGGTTGTTCCTTGAAAATTACAGTAATAATTTTTAATAATTTATTGTATGTTTAATTTTTTTTACGTGCCTTATCGGTTGATTGCTCTGATCGCATGGTCGAGGCCTGTACTAATTTCGAACTCTCATCCAGTCGCTACGTGGGTTAGCCGCTCATTGTCGTTTAACTCATGTGTCCGATATCGGTTTGTCCGATCGGGCTATTTTTAATTTACCAAGGTCTTCGTTTTCTATGGTCGAGGGACCTATGTACGAGTATCACGGCAAGACGTGCAAATCTCACGTCCCAAATTGACTCTCTTACTTTATCTAAAATACTTATTGTGTCGTATGCAAAAATATATACAAAAACCATTGTAGTAAGGGTGTTTGTTATGATAATGTACAAACTAGCGACTCGTTCACTCATGCCCTCATGGTATGCCACCGTACATATGTTGGTATGACGACTTAGGCGCTCACCACACCATTATCGAAAACATAGTTTCTTACAGGTTCCCAACTTTACATAGTTTATAAAGAGGGCGACAAATGAAAACTACTTTTAATTGTTAGAAATGAAATTCAACATTCAACCTTGAACTAAAACAACATTTCACCCATTTGTCATGAGGCAACTTTCAACATTTCTCTTTTGGCTATTTTGCAACCTTAAGGCTACAATATTATGAGTTGTGGCGATTGTTTCAATATGATTTTAATTTTCGTAGTAAACGACCGCTCTAAATAAGGTACAACTAGGATGGACGTTGGGTGGTCACCGATATTTTAAATTTTTGTGGAAGGGCAACAATTCTTTGGTTGCCCTACCGATACTTTTTAAATGACCGGTCGTGTCTCGTAAGGGGAGACCCCAAAAGAGACAAAAAATCTTAGAGCAATATTTTTTTTTGCGCCCCATTATCAAGAATGATTTACAGTCAGCAATGGCCTTGCCCACAGGTAGTGGGCAGTTTGTTGCAAAATCTTGAGAGTGTTTACTTTGACGTTTTTTATAATTATAATCATTATTCAAAAAATTTATAAAATTGAGGAACATTTGTTGAACAATCATCTCTCTCCCAAAAACAAAACACACAAAATTTATTTGGGGCAAAAAAAAAAAATGATGGCAGTTAAATAAACTTTGTTCCCCTTCCTCACAACCAAATTTGAAATTCACAGCCCTAAGGGTGCGGTACAGGGGGTTCACACATATGTATTCGAAACCCAAAGGCTGCATGAAAACTCTCTCTCTTTCTCTCTTTCTCTAAAAGAAAAAGGTTATTCGGGTTGGTTCCCCATACCCCCACAATAGACTATAAGTGGGGTTGGAACCCTTTTGTCGTAGTTTACATGCGACTTTGAGGGCACAAGTATGCAACGAGAAAACGAGCAATTCGCAAACCTAAGGGTTACGATCTAGTGGGTTAGGGTGTCCCTATCAAGGTGACACATTTTTTGCAGTCGGTGACGAGCAGATAATGGGGTTCTTTGGGTATTGAATTTTATCGGGGGAGTGGTCCTTCACGTTTTTGCGAAGTACCCACAACTATCACTCGTAGAATCGGTACCTTCTTTATTTTGAAGGATCGATTGTCCTTTTTACATGAACACCAAAAACTAGTTTTGAAGGGTGGACCATTACTTGAGATTACCAAGTGCACAACATATTTTTGCGAGTCTTATCCTAGGCCCAAAAAATTCCTCGCCGCAATTACCGAGGGGGAATGTGTTTGGACTCACAGTGCAAACTACTAAGAGTGTTGTTTCGGATATTCATTAAAATTGGAACGATACGAAGAAGATTAGCTTTGGATCTGTGCAAGGATGACACATATAAATTGGAAAAAAAAAAGAAATGATGTATGATAGGTGCTGGTAGAGATCTGGTGGCATGACATTCGAAGAGGAGGATGGAGACAAGTTTTTCACAGATTACACACACACACATACACATACGGGGGGGGGGAAAGGGGGGAGAGAGAGAGAGAGAGAGAGAGAGAGAGAGAGAGAGAGAAAAAAAAATACACTGTGATTGAGTACATAGAGCGAGAGAGTGAATTGTGATTGAGTACACAAAGCGAGATAATGAAGTGTGGTAGAGTACATAGAGCGAGAGAATGGACTTTTACCTTATACAATCCTCGATCATGATCTCTCTCTCTCTCTCCTTCTGTCTCTCTCACGTGCGCACGTATGTTAACCGGTCCTTGTCTTAGTCAACTATATGCGTCTCTCTCTCTCTCTCTTATGTCAAAGAAAAACCATCACCCCCTAGGGCTGCGTTCCCCGGGCCCCCCCGGTAGACTATCAGAATTCAGCCCAAATTGACTGTTGTCAAGGTCCAGGCCGACGGTCTCCTGCCTCAGAGGCATCCCTCAGCATGGAAGATCACACATGGCCTCACGGTCATTTGAGAACGTGGAGACTGTACTCTGGCAACAAGGCATAATAGTCTGGCAACAAGGCCATTATGCCTTATGCCCTGACTCGCGCTATGCATGGGATGGTGGCTTGAAACCCTGCAGGACTGTCGATCTCAAAATCTCGGAACTGGTGACCCACAGAAAGGGGTGGTGCTTCTCAACCCAAAGTGGACGGTGAATGCTAGAACTTTCAGCTCTGCCATGTGAGAAACAGAGGTCTAGTGGCAAAGCACTCCGAGGGCGTGGTCGTGCGTACAGGTACTGGCTATGGCTGTTACCGTATTGCGGTGCATTTGACACGACAGTTGCGTTTAAGGTGCCAACCCGGGTTCTATGACAGGCAAAACGGTACCGTCATTCAATTGGTACCAGAACCATCTCTCCCTTCCGCCTGGGTGATGTGTTGGAAAGTGGGGTGCGTTCTCAAGAAGTGTGTGCGAAACAACCAGCAGAAAACATCAGGACCAGAAGGCGCGACGAGGCCAGTGTGGAGTCTGTTGACAGGAGGTTGGCCCACCCGCCCGCCCGAGCGAACGGCGGTCCGCAAGGACGAGCCTTGCGCCCGAGCAGAGTCCCCAGGAAGCGCCGCCTTCCAAGCCGGTAGTGTAGATACGGCCCCGTCCAGCCTCGCTCAGCTTTCGTGCACGTGCTTGCCGTCGCTCTGCGCCTCGCCAATCTACCTTGCCTACCAGTAGTTCCGATCAGAGCCAACTTTTCGGCTTGTTCTTTCCGGCGGGCTTCGGCGATAACGGTGGCGCCCGCACGCACACCCGCCCCCCTGTGCTCGCGCGCTCGATGCGGTCCCAGGCAGATACCCAGCAACGACGGGGACAATTCTGGCCGTGAAGGCAGCGATAATCCCCTTCGCTAGCGGATCCGCTGTCGTTGCGGTGAGCGGAGGCGACAGGGAAGGGCAACCTTCGCGAGGCGGTGAGGAAAGAAAGGTGGTGCGTGTTTTGCAGAGAACCTGCGTGCGTGCGCGCGTACGCGGCATTTTCTTTGCCTCCAGCGTTCTGCCGGGGGCTGGTTGAGCGGGCATAGATCAAGGTGTCAGCAGCCCCAGCCGCTCTAGGAGGGAAGACGAAAGAAGGGTATAGATGTACTTCACGCGAATCGAACCAGGCGGGCGGGTAGGACGGAATAGCCGTGCGGTCGGACAGTGAAAATAAGGAGCGTGTGTGCGGGAGGGAGAGGAGGAGAAAGGTTGACAGTCATGSGGTTGAGTGGCAAGGTGGCTATMATTACYGGTTCGTCGAARGGGATCGGCGAGGCATGCGCCCGGAAATTCGTCGGCGAAGGTGCTAAGGTTGTTCTTGCTGATATCGATGAAGCAGCGGGAGCGGTGCTGGCAGATGATCTTAATGCCAAAAACTCCCAGATGAGTGTTATCTCTGGCGGTCCTGCGCTTTTCGTTAGGTAAGAAGCATCTACAACCTCCTTCAAGCCCCGGGGTCTCCCCTTTCTCCTCCTCGTTCCTGGCATCCTGACCCTTCCCATCTACCTGCCCGCCCCTTCTCTCAGCGTTTCTGTGCGTCCTCGTGCGCCTCTCCAGCACGCGGTTCGCTGGCTGCGATGTTCTGAGCAGCAGTGAGGTCGCGTCTCCCTTCATCCGCTCGCCGTCAAAGTGTGCTCAATCTTAGTGAAAAGCGCTCGTCTGTCTGCCTATCTACATTGCCTATCCCTGCCTCCCCTCTGTTCTTTCACCCTGTGTTCCTCAGGGTCTCTTGTGCGCGGGTCGGGAAAGGCAAGCCCACGGGAGCCGTTCGTAGCGTGGTCAACATGCAAGCAGGCCGCACACCACGCCGAGGTTTTTGCGGATATAAAGCCGGACGGTCGCGTTAAGCTCCAACACCATCGTCATGTCTCGCTCTCGGCAGCATGCCTGCCAGGATGATGGCGTGGCATCAGCATCATGGTGATGAAGAAGGGGGAAGTACTCTTTACCCTCTCATCGTAAACACGGTGCAGCATTGCTTGGTGATTGCTGACGGGCACCAATCCCTAGTCACCCATGCTGACCAGGACTCCCCGCCCCGTGCCCCCTCGTCAACATTTAAATCAGGGTGGTCTGAACCCGACGTCGCGAGATCGGTGCTCAACGTCTACGACTATAATCCCCCCTTCTCGCTGCGCTTTCCTTCCCTACTCGCAGGTAAACTTCACCGTGACCCTTTCTCATTGCCCTCAGACGTTCGCTTACGAGCTTGCAGGCGTCAGCGGCAGGCTAATCGTTCTCTATTCCGGCGCGTTGATGCATACTTGTGTGGCGGGTATCGCACGTGTGTGTGTGCACCCTCTCGTTAGAGAGAGAGAGATAGATAGAGAGAGAGAGAGGGAGAGGTTAGTTGCGGTGCAGAGAGAGAGAGAGGTTAGTTGCGGTGCAGAGAGAGAGAGAGAGAGAGGGGTTAGTTGCGGTGCTAGGTGCTTTTATTTTGAGGTCGCGAAGATGATGATTAGTGGTGAGAGAGGTTAGTTGCGGTGCACACACAGAGAGAGAGAGAGAGAGAGAGAGAGAGAGAGAGAGAGAGAGAGAGAGAGAGAGAGGTTAGTTGCGGTGCTAGGTGCTTTTATTTTGAGGTTGCGAAGATGATGATTAGTGGTGCTGGGCGACGCGTATGCACACGGCGAACGTACGGTCTGACCAACCAACCGAAGCCTCCGAGGTATTAATCGAGGGCGTGGAACAGTCACATATCAGCAAAGCCGTTGCCTATCCTCGTCGATGACAGTCTGCCCACTTGTTAGTTGGTCATGGCTGTGCGACAGAGTACTTTCGGTTCACTTGTTAATGGCGTGGATTGTCGTTAAAGAACAGTGGAACCTCAACGCAACGGTTGTTGTAGTGGATTGGGAGTATTACTCAATTCAGAAAAGGGAATAGTAATCAATTAAGTATAGGGAACTTTTGAATTACCTGTCGATCGACGAAAGGAAACGGCCGTCCGCAGAAACTGATGTGACCTGTCCTTCCGTAGTAAGACTACCAAGTCTTTCAACCACGAGAGAACGGCGCATGATTAACCCCCCCCCCCCCCCATTGCATGTTTTATTACTCCCGTCTTATAACCGTCGTATCTGTCTGCCCTAGGTCAATGATGTTGTCTGAAGCCTCCAAGCGCTGATACGGAAAAAAGAAACGGACGGGAGAAAAGACGTTGAAATAATTGCCCTAGGTTCAGATGTGATATTAGGGGTTCAGTTCTTAGAGAAGAAGAGGAGGAAAGCTTGGCTTCTTGTCTTCAGTTACATCGAATAACTGCTAACGTTGAAAAGTTCCTTCTCATCTTCACTTACATGCGTAGTACTTGTAAGAAGCGTCCCATTGTTGACAGTATATAGTTGTATTCTGGAGGCATTTAAAAACACACGGCCCGCCGTTTTCCGTTTCCTGTTCGGCGGTATTACTACGGCAGTATTATTATCTTTCATGAGATACAGCTAATGCTCTTAACCAACAAGTAATCACTGAATTCGTAGCAGCAGCAGTAATGGTACTAGTAATCTCGATGTTGCTTTCCCTAAGAGAAGTAAATGCACGTCGGGTAACGTTGTGGGCGCGAAGCTAAGCTTCAGCTATGTTAAACGGATGTCTCTCTCTAGTTTTGCGTTTGTTGTGTTCATCATCTTTGCGCGGGCATGAAAGGGCGAAGCTCCAATGATAAATTGATTTAGTGGACGGGGAAGTGCATCTGTGCGTTGGGGGCGGTCGTTAGTACGGCCTCCTTTCTTTTGCTGTCGTAATCACGAGCAGTGTGTCCAAAGGATTTTCGACTAAAAGAACATACAAATGAAAACGTTTATTGACGTCACAAGGTTCGTCAAGGGAGGAGGTATATAACACGCTTTCGAAACTGTATTGGCCAGTATTTTTTTCGCGGTCGAAGAGCATCCCCCCCGTCGACGGCAAGTGGTAAATAAAGTAATATGCGGCATCGGCGCCAGAGAACGGCCAGGATTTGTTTGCTGTCGGTGAGCATACCCGTCGACGTCACGTGGTCTAGCCTGCGGCATCGGTGCCAGAGGAGCCGTCCACCGTCTTTCGAAGTAAAATACTAAATTAAATAATATCAATCGTTTTCGTCTCGTTGTCTTGTGGGGACCACATGCTCATCATGTCGCCGCATCGTCGTCACCATCTCATCATGATCTTTATCACCACCCTGACGACGAGACTTGTCTTTTTGAGAAGAAATGTGGTGACGGGCCTGGGGCACTGGGGGAAATAAAGAGCAGAGCGGGACGGAACGCACACATGTATATATGTATATGTGGAGAGAGAGAGAGAGAGAGCGTGAGGATTGCATTAGGCTGTCGTGATCTGACGTATTCTATTAGAGCAAGGCGACCTTATTTTAACTGTTTGATAATAACATGAGAATAGACCTCGAATCAAGTGCGTGCGTGGTTCAGCGACGGTCGGCCTGCAGCCATGGTCTCGTGCACGCCGGGCTGCCTTATAAAAATGGAATAGACAGAGGCGAAGATTCCACCGTAAGCCACAAAGACGAAGACCCCTTCGTTTGCACAAGGGAGGTTGGGGGAAATGGGAAGAAGCAGGGAGGGAGTTGGAGTGGGGCATGGAGAATGGAAAGGGGATTAGGGATAGGTGGGATCCCTTAAAGGAACTTGGTTATCCCATCTTAGGGTCCGCACTATTGAATGGGTGAATGCGCTGTCCTTGTACGTCCGTTTTGTAGCCATGAAGAATCTGTAAGTCAGCACGATGGCTTAACTGCTTGTTGGTTGGTTAACTAGTTGGTTGTGGTTTCTCATTGCTAGCCCCTCTCCTAATTCCCTAACTTCCTGTGCTGTTTGGTTTGAGGGCAAAGTCGACAGTGTCTGTCTGACTATTTTCTTTTTCTTGGGATGGGATGGAGGACAATGGGAAAAACGACGGGGAGAAAGAAAGGGATCCGCCTAGTGTGCAGTCATATTCATCTTGATGGCATTGGCATATCTGAACGCTGCCCAATCACGCTTGTTGTGCGGTGCAGGTGGTGTTTTCAGGCGGATCTCCTCCTAGGCAATCGCGAGTAACATCGTTGGTTGTCCGGGACTGTATCGTTCTTGTACCTTGTACCCTCTCACCGAGGCGGCAACGCGATAGCGACGTGACAGGCGAACGGGACAAGGACTGAGAAGAACTACCAGGCAGTTGGGAGTGTTTGTTTGCTTTTGTCTGTATTGCTTTCTGTCTGTGTGTGTGTTGCTTGAGATCGAGAAACACACACACACACACACACACACACACACACACACACACACACACAGAGAGAGAGAGAGAGAGTGAGAAGGCGAGACGGTTTACATATTAGTACCAAAATGGCCCGTTGATGTTGAAGAATGAGAGTCATCAAGGGGAATGGAGCAACCGACGGTAAACTACGGGCGAGCCCTTTCCGAGAAAAGTAATGTTGTATCCTGAGTCAGGTTCTGGGCGCAGATTACTGTTGCTGTCGTCTATCATATGCATGACAAGATCTGATGCCGTGTTTGCCGTGTTGCGGCTGGTTGAGCTCGCACTCGGTGCGCATGTGCACGCCCGGGCTTATTCCAGGAGCAGACAGAGAACTCGCGCACGGAATGGTTTGTGCTACCTTTTTGTCGTAGAATGCGGGTGTTAACGACTGCCCGGAATTTTCGGCTGGGTGAAGCAGTCGAGGGAGAAAGATCGTCGGATGTCCGAGTGAAGTTTCGGCTGCTGTCGCTGGTTTCTCCGGTGCCCTAGAGTAGGGCCCAGGAGCACAAAGGCAGAGGAAAGAAGGGTAATCGGGAAGGTGAGAGTGAGGGGGTGTTAGTTAGTAGGGTAGCAGCTCTTTCTCTCTTTGCCGCAATGGCTACTTACCAATACGCCGACGGCGCAGGAGGGTACCACACTTTGGTCTCTGGCGGGGGGTATTATGACCCTTACGGAACGGTAGGAGGCGGAGGCGGAGTAGCGGTGGCGGTCGACCAAAGTTATGTGCAGACCAGTGCGGGCGTTCAGCTGATGGCGCCATCCTCTGGCGTCGCGGAACAGGCGGCCGCAGCCGCTGCTGTTCAGTCGGCCGCAGCGGCAGCCGTCGCACAGTCGGCGGGAGTCGCAGCTGCCGCACAGTCGGCAGGTGGGGGCCACCTAGAGACCCTGTACGGCCTCCCGACGTTGCAGGGGGTTTACACTGTGGAGTCTGTGGCGGCAGCCCCAGCCGTCGCCGCCGCAGGAGGAGGCACCACAGGGTCCATGCAGATGATATCGACAAACCCGGCCGCCACCTGGGGGGTAAGCGGGGGATACGAGATGGAGGTCGCAACTTCGACCGCGCAAATGTATGGAAACATCCCGTCTAGTTACCAGTCAAGCTCTGTGACCACGGCGGGCGGCACGCCGCAGCTTGCCGGTGTGGGTGGAGGGTATGTCCAGGGAGCGGTTGGGATGCAGCCGTCATCTGGAGGCTTGACAAGGGGCGGGCCTGTCGGCAGTGGGACAGCGGGCTATGGCAGTGCCGGAGCAGGAGGGGGGACGAGCAGCGGGGCGTTCGGAATGGGGACAGGAGCCGTGAGCGTCTCGGGCAGCAGTTACGGAGGGGCAACGGGGCGTTCGACCACAGGATACGGAGCAGCAGGGGGGCTGGGATATGGAACAGCGACGGGAGCAGCAGGAGGGATAGGGAGTGACGGGTATGGAGGGTCGTCCGCGTTCACGTACGCAGGCGTCGGGAGAACGCAGGGACAGGCGTCCCAGCAGCACCTCCCGCAGGCTTTGCCGCAGGTGCTGCTGCCGACAACGGCGGCGCCGTCGCAACAGCAGCTGCAGAATCAGATGCAACCTCTGCAGCAGCAACAGCAGCAAGCAACGCAGCAGCAGGCGCAGCAGCACATGCAGCAGGCCCAGTCGTACTCCCAGCAGCAGCAACAGTACCCGCAGCAGCAGCAGGTGCAGCAGATTCAGCAGCAGGTGCAAATGCAACAGCAAGTGCAGCTCCAGCAGCAGCAGCAGCAGCAGCAGGGGAGCGGCGTCGGGGGGTCAATCGTCCGTCTGAGCAACGCTATTGTACCCCAACATTCCGGCGTGGGAGCAGTACACCAAGGGGGGCATCATCATGTCCAGCCCACGGGAACGATGACATCAAGCAGTAGAGGGGTTGCCGGGGTTGGAAGTTCGAGAGGAGGGATGGAGAGTCGCTCGCAGACCACTCGGCAGCTTGCACCGTTGCCAACCCCGGATAGACGACTGGGTGTTGTTCACCCCAGTAGTGGAGGCGTCTCGGCATCGCTTCAGCAGGGCCCGGGGCTGCAGCAACACCAACAGCAGCAGCAACAGCATCATCACCATCAGCAGCAGCAGCATGCACCGATGACCTATTATCATTATCATAGATATGGCGGTGGAAATCCCGGAGTGGGAAATGGGGTAGGGGGTTTGGGAATGGTGGGGGGGGCAGTGGGGGCTGCATACAGTACTGGTCCAGGGAGTGGACAGGTGGTGCGGATGGATCCGAGGATACCGATGGTGGGGAGCGGGGGGGGAGGGAGGCCACCGGTTGGTCCCATGTATGGTTCTTCTGGAGGAGGGATGGGGACGGCAGCAAATGTCATGAACCGTCAGCAGGTGGGAGCTTGGTATCGGCCCTCTTCTCATCGCATGATGGGACCTGGTGGTGGTGGTGGTGGTGGTGGTGGCGGCGGCGCCCCCCCTGTGGGAGCGGGAAGGGGTTACCCATCTGCTCCTATGTTTGGTCGCCCAGCGGCGCAGAGTTCAGCCTCGCCGGGCCTCAAGGGGGGAAACTTTCCCCCGCCCAGCTCGTCTGGAGGAGGAAAATCGAAGAAGAAGAAGGCCAAGAAATCTCAAGGCCCTACGTCTCGTTTGTGTCGGGTCTGCAACGTGGAATGCAACAGCTTCGACGGTCTGAGGGAGCACATGAAAGGGAGGAAACACACGAGAATGGTGGAAAAGCAAGCGAAGGAGCTGACAGCGAGCAAGGTGATGGAGAAGGTAGCGGAGCAGGAGAAAGAAGGAATGGAGAAAGCGGGTGGTGCCTTGGGGGGGGATCCAGAGAGGTTGGAGGAGAATGGGGTGGTGACTGCGGAAGCAGGTGGGGGAGAGAGAGTCGCAGCCAACGGGGGAGCAGGAGCGGATGGAGAGAGGATGGGCAGACAAGCAGAAGGGGAAATAAAACGAGAAGAGGGCGACGGGGTCGATGGTGGGAACCACCAGGAGATGAAGGGTCAAGTGGAGGGTGAAGCGGCTATGGCCTGGAAAATAGGGGACAAGGAGTCGGGCTTCGACTCGGAGGAAGAGGGGTCAGATGGGGACGAGGCACCAAGGCGACGCCGACGGAGGTTGGAGAGAGCGAATGAGTTGGAAATGACGGGGGGAGATGATGCACAGAGACTTGGAATGAAGAGGCCAAGAGAGGGAGAGGAGGAGGGGCGTGATGGGGATGGCGGTCTGAGGCGAGGAAGAGGAAAGAAGATGAGAGGAGCGCCCGGAGTTGGGGATAAACCGAAAGATGAGAAGCCCAAGGTTGAGGGAGAAATGAGCGAAGGGTGGTGTGATGTATGCCAAGTGGACTGCCAGAGGAAGAAAGTTCTTGACTTGCATGTTCAAGGGAAGAAACATCTGTCCAAACTTCGACAGGCAGTGCCCGGACCAAGGTGGGAAAGATGGGGCGGTCGCGGTAGAGGGATGGGAATGCCTCGCGAGATGAACACAGACCAGAAGGAAAAGTTGAGTAACGAGACGGGGGAACAATTCGCTGGAGGAGGGAGAGGCGGAGAATCGAACATGGACAATTCTGAACCTTGCGTGACATTGGAGGGTGGAGCAGAACCGTCTTTGGCAATCGATGTAGGAGCAGACCCGTGCGTGACAGTCGAGGGGGCAGAACCTTGCGTCACTGTAGAGGGAGCAGAGCCTTGTGTGGTAATACAGGGCTTGGAGACATCTTTGGCAGGTACGGACGAAGCAGGCGTGAAAGTTCGTAAAGAGAACACAGAACACGGGACCCCGACATGTCGGGTAGTTGAACGGGGTTTTACAAGCAAGGGTGCAGACGAGGGAGGCCTGCCTGGCTCTTTCAAGGAAGAAAGAAAGGAATCGCATGAGGAATTCTCTGCACCAACGGCGAGGGGCAATGGTATTGAACAGCAGCAAGATCGGAATGTGGATTCAGCACGAGCATATGCCGCGGTAGAAGTGAAAAAGGAAGCGTGAGGATGGAATATCATGTAGCTGCTGCTGGCACGAGAAAAACTTGCGGAGAGAGAGCGGGGAAGAGAGAGAGAGAGAGAGAGGGCGGAGGGGGGTAATTCTGTATTTCGGCTGGCTCAAACCGAAGGCCATCAGGAATGTTATCCAGGTGCGTGGATTTGCAATTCCAGCAAGTGGTTCGCTTTTCAAGATTCTTCGAAGTGTGGATGCTTTTGCAAGCATGAGCAGGACAAGACTCGTCAGGCAGGGATATTGAGGGGAGACACTGTAGCAGCCATACATCAATTGATGATTGTGAAAGTTGAAGCCGACTTTGTTGGTTGGTACAGGTTTTTGTATCATCATGTGTACCATGGTCGTCTCTGTGTCTTTCATAGGAAAAGGCACGGTTATGCGTAACGGTGCTTTTGGTGGGCGCTAGCCACAGGCCCTTCTTTTGTTTTTGGTGTATGCGTTCATCTGCGTGTCTTTGGGAGAAAGGAGGGGGGACGGGAGAGAGAGAGAGTGTGAGAGAGAGAGAGAGAGAGAGAGAGGCATGAGAAAAAGGATGCAGGGTTCAAGGTTGTTAACGTAGGTGAACTTTTTTGACTTATTCAAGAATCTTCCAAGCTATCATTCGACTGCTTTGCAGTAGTACATCAAAGACAAACATTCTCTGAAACTAGTTTTTCCGGCTGCTGCTGCTTATGATGTAGTGATGGTGTGGATGATGATGACCAAAGTAAGGAGACAAGTCGATGGTGGTGAATGAGTGTGGGCTAGCCATTGTAATGATGGCCTTTGGACTAAAGCCCCTATCTTCTTCTGCCCCGTCCCCCACCCCTAGTTGAATTCCATTGGTGGTACGTCAAGTTGCAAACTGATGTTTCTGGTTAAGGAGCCAAAAATTTCCCCCATTAACAAGACAGCTTTTTATTCTCACCCTAAGTATCCGGGGTGGGTAGTTTTCTCCCTCTCTTCATTGATCGTTGCCATAGTACGGGTAGTCCATGGGGGGCTCGCTTTCACCTTTTATGAATTGATTGCTGTCCAATTCCAGGCAGTTACAGAATTTGTGAGACAATTGGACGTGTCATTGTCGGATGAATTGACACGTTTCGCTGGTTCGTAGTGCTGTTTTCAGCTCATTGGAACACTGAGTGCAGGTGCAGGCCTATCTTTTTCGACCACAGAAGGTAAGTTGTGACTCTGTGAAAGAAAATGGAGAATTTGAGAGGGAACGGATGTGTAGAGGATTAGATATGGGTTGATTCATCACAATAGGCCCTCCCTCGTTGTTGATATTTGGCCTTCTTGACTGCAGGGAAGGATGGTATGCATGTGCTAGCGTGGATCATCAAAGAAGATCCTCATAGGATCTCTTGGATATGGTTAGTCTCTGCTGCAATTCGAGTGGACGTTCGCCCTCATAGTCGGAAAATGTCCGGGGCTAATATCCTCTTGTCATCGAGGAAAGTGTGGTCTCTTTCGTTTGCCTATGAAAAAAGGGGCGAATGACAAAAATGACCCTTGGGATATCTGCAAATTAGACTGATGCCGTCCTGTTTCTGAGACGAATTTTCCTCCCTTCTGTGAGGAAGTAGAAATCGCAGTGCTATGGCTGCGTCATTCTTGACGGAGGGCCTTGATATTGGTGCACATGCAGTTCTCAATTCTTTGTGACAGAGAGCCTTGATATTGATGCAGTCTTTAAGTTGTTGATTCTTTGTGAAGTGGTTTCTTTTATTAGTTCTTGATTGAAGGTCACGAGTGGGTAGACACAAAGTCCGTCACCTGACCTGCCTTCCTGCCCCGAGTTTTTAGGGTTGTTCCAGACCTGAGTTTTGGTTAGTGCCTTAGTAACCCGGTGTGCAGCACGTGTTAGACTGTAGTTTCTAGGTGGTTGCTAGGCCGACTCAAATCTTCACATTCTTCTGTAGAGTGTTGACTGTGATTCTGCGGGACATGACAGTGTTTTGAACTGGGGTGTGGTCGCTTTTCACTCTCCAATTACAGGGTAGGGCCTTTAGGTATGATAGAAACATTGTCGATGTCGTTGTGCCGAATATCAGCCTAGATCGACTTGATATCAGCTGTGATTCCACCTGAGACACTGCCTCCTTCGCTGGAAATCAGGAAGCAATGCATAATAAACAGGTGCTGACTGTGATCCTGTTCTGCCAGGCTGGCAATTTTGGCTATCGATCCAGTGAGTACTCCAAGGGCCAGAATTTTGTTATTGGTATCCCCTTGCATATATATATGTATATATATACAGTTTGTCACAGCCCCTCGTTTGTTGTCCTCTTCTCCCTCCCTGCCTACGGTTTCCTGGGCAGCTCTGTTTGATGCGTATATATGTGCATTACACCCCGACCCCCAGGCAGCTAGCACTATTCTTATCTGTGACAAACTCGTGCCCCCAATAAGGGTGCAATTTTGTAATTTTACGGAAGTTGCCTTGAGTGTCACTCCGGGCCGGTGCCTACCTGCTGCTCTTGATTGTCCTTGTCGTCGGGCGTTTCCTAACTGCACCGATCTGGTTGACGGCCATGTAGTGGGGGATGTACTTGAAGCATTGGCTGTTGGTTATGACGAGTATATTGCTGCGTATCTTCGTCCGACAGCACGGCAATCCTGCGATGCTACCCTAGCTCCACAATTGGCTCTTTGGCGTGCCGCAGTTTTGCGTCGCTRTGAGTGCAATATGGCTGCCGCATCTCCATTGCGACAGCCTCGCTCTTTGCGACACGTGCATACGGCCCTGCGTCAGCTTCAAGAATCTTTCGCGATTGTTCCTGTGGACAAAACATCACATAACGTGGCTATTTGTTGTAAAACTTGGTATCGATTTAAACTGTCAAGTCACCTTGACAGTCCTACGTATTCTCGGCCTGCTGAATCAGCGGCGGACATTCTGAATAGCCATGCAGTTTGGAACAGTCATTGAAATTATCCTCCTGCTGACACATTGCCGTATCTTTATTGTGCTCTTAAGGCCCATAAATCTCCTCCGACACTCCATCCTATTCTTGGTATCACCGCCTGCAACAATCTTTCTTCTTCTTCCTCTTCTCATACGGCCCAGCGGGGTGACCTGCACACCTCCCAACGAGTCCAGCGTTTGCATCACCGACCACCTCACAAGCCTGTAGCTAGTACAATACCTACATCGCTCGTTTGAGTGCAGCACTTCAAGGCGTCATCCGTACTCTGCGCGAAAAAGATAAGCAACTCTTTCGAACCAAAGGTATTGGACGATGTTGGATTGTCCAGAGCAGTGACGAGGTCATGCTTGACCTCAAAAAGAATAAAGTTTCTCTCAGAGGTCTGGCCCCACGTACGGTCGATTTCACTACTATGTATGCTAATCTTTCTCATCAATGGATTCTTGACAATGTTGCTAATGCCGTTGATGAGGCGCATGCCTATGCTCTTGCACAGGCACGGCAGCATACACAGACACGCTCATCGTGTGTTGCTCTTCGTATGGTGGTCCGTGGACCGTGTAGGGGAATGGACTACGGATACGGGACCTGACACTCTTTCTGTTTCTGACATTCTTCAACATCTTCGGTTTATTGTTACAAATACATATATGCAGTTCTATTTGACGATATATATATATTTGACGATATATATATATATATATATACAGCGGATGGCCTTGTTCGTCATCAAGATGTCGGTATCCCTATGGGTACAAACGCTGGTCCTGAGATTGCTAACCTTACACTCTATTGGGATGAGG